AGTGGACAAATATATTGATCAAAGGAAAACAGTGCTCCCTAGTTGCGCCTGCGTGAACAATCATCTCATACTGTTAATGCAAGAAACAAGATAATAGGAAAGTGAAGTATTCCATCCAGTGATCAGTGAAATATAACGGTTAGTTAGCTAGACCTATCTAGTACACGTACCACAAATTCAGTAAAGCTATTTACTCAACCAAAAAAAACATCATGCAAGCAAGCAGGATATGACATCAATGTTCAGTTGGTCAATGTCGAAAAAAAAAAATATCTAATGAAATAAGGGCCATAGGTGTACCTTGAGCTGGTCAATGTCGACACCGTCTTGTTGAAGGTCAACTCATGGAGCTGCCAGACCTACCATACAAATTCCATCATAAAAAGCTGAACAAATAGTGCAATTTTAAGTACATCAAAAATAAAATTGATCTGGATACCATAATAATTCCATCAGCAATCAGCAATCCAACAGGACACCAGCAGAAAACCACTAACTTAGCTGAATTAAATTCTGGCATTAACTTTCCTATAACCATATGTCACCGCACCGTTGTTCCAATTCACCATACACCAACTATCTCACGACACCGGCAGAAAACCACTAACTTAGCTGATACTAAATATATAGTTATGTGAAAGAGATGTTTTATGATAGGCTTAAATTGGAACTGATCTTGAGTACATTAACAATAAAAAAATCAAGTCCAGCTGGAAGCAATCATAAGTTCATGCTAGGATTAAGTAAATTGGAGATAGCACATTGTATCACAGCAACAGATTCTGAAATTACCTTAACTGCTGTGCTCTCAGCAACAACCACAGCAGTATCACCGGCGTTGGCGAAGCGATTAACCCAACCTGCAAGGTTAGACAGAATAATAAAAGAGTAAGTTCATGGCATTTCAAACCTACCTAACACAATCATGCTAGGCTGCTAGTGCTAGCAACATAGACAAAAATTCAATGATTAAACATTATGATCAGAAATGATTAGCAACGACTTGACCTACAGGAATCTTCAGCCTCTTCAAATTGTCACACAAGTAGGCGCATTAGGACATGAATCATGAAGCAAACATAAAAGAGCCTTTGTCTCAAATGGAAACTAAACGATTTTGCTAAGGTAATGAAATAATTAAGCTAATTACTGTTCTTGGGAGACATCCGTCTCGCACGTAAGTTTCAAGGCATGCATCAAAAACCTCGTCAAGTGGCAACGCCCAGTCACCCACACATGAGCTTGTGCTCAGGTCCACAGTGGCAAGGAAAACAATGAAACTGCCTCTAAGAGCCTGCTAAACGTCTGTGTTGTACTTGGTCTTATGCTCCAAAGTTGAGTCTTAGAGCTAGCAGCACTCAGTTTCATACATTTGCTCAATACTTCAGTGGTAGCAAACACATGCTTTATTTGCAATGTTCAGTTCACACATTTGCAATGATGAACTCTATTTTTAGCCCTACACCGAAAGATGAACTGTCCCAGCAATACTTACACTACTATGTTTCGACCGAGCTCGTACCAATGATTATTGGAATAGTGAATGCAATAGTGAAAGTTGTCTTAAATGGATATTGTCATTTAGAATAAGGGGAACCACCAAAATCACTCAAAGTTACTTATACTATACTTCATTAACTTTATGTCATCTATGGTGCAGTGAGAGGCATCCACACTAAGAGACCTTCAGGTCCACTAAAGCTAGTGACACCGACAAATGAAATACCCACCTGGAATTGGAAAGTAAGATGATCTTCAACCAATGATCGACAACTAATATTATATCAACTACATGTACCAACTCTTAATAACGGTGGGCAATGAAAACATGGGAATGGTAAAATAAAAATTAGCTGTACCGGGAATGGGCTTGATTTCTTTTATGTGGGGTCATGAACACTTATTTGTCTAACTAACAACTGGTCCCGAGCTTTTTATGCTGCTTTCGTGTTTGTTGGCTGCAAAAAACTAAATTGCCAAACAGAAACTCTTATGCATAACATGACCGGAAAAATGTGTCGATATAGCATGCGCACAATAAGCGAGGGTAGGGAAGTGACCTGCATAGCAGAAGTTGATTAGAACAATGGGTCCTCCCAAACTGCTATATTGCACGATCTCGCACTCTAAGGAGTTCAAGAGTTATGTGTACTCTTCTTCTCTGAAATTCAGTTCAATTCAATTCAGTCTCAGTCGTACTGACAGGCAGGCAAGCAAGCAAGAAAAAGAACACATGCATATTAACTTTAACAAGAATAAACATTGCAAAATAGGGTGATCAGTTTGGAGGGGGAGGGGGCCCTGTCTTATAAGTAAACTTTCCATATTTCTCATGAGCTACACTCGGTTTTCAATTAAGCTATAGATTCTCTTGAACTATCCACAGGAAGCAAAAAAATAGGAAAAAATAATCTTAAGCCACAGTAACTGAATGTGGAGTAAATGAAGATCAAACTAAACCACAGTCCATCTTGATGATCAAACTAAAGCCACAGCCCACAATTGAGTAAATTTAAAGGCAACTGCTATACTTCCTACAATGAATCTGGATGACACATTGAAGCTCTGCATGAACTATGTATTCATTTTTGCCATATGCCAAATCGACTAAGCAACATCTGGGATGCAGAGAGCACACTTAGTTTCTATGCCACGTGTACTTGTTGATTTGGCCCGATTAAGCAAATAAGCAACAACAAATGTGTCCACTATAATAAATAGAAGGCACATGTTAGTAGCGAAATAGAGATCCATATCACTACATGGAGAATCTTTACCAGGAATCGAAAAGACAAGCAAAGCAACAATGGTAGCGAAGTGGTAGAGAGCACTTTACGATACTCGTGAGTCTAATCCACGAGTGGTTCCTAGTGCTTGCCGAGGCTCGATGAGGCGCTGAGATCTGCGGCTTTTCTTAGGGCAGAGGTCCAAGGAGCACCTTCTTCTTGTACGCTTCAGGCAACCACGAATACAACATGCACAGATCCATGATTTAGTTAGTAATGAGGTGACGCAATGATCAAAGCAACAAACACACAGTGTAGAGGGACACCGTGGCTCCCTTTACTTTGGATCTGGCCATGCGGAGGGGAGATAGGGGGAGAGCTGGGTGTGGGCGCCAGTCAGAAGAATGGAGGACCGGAGGAGGTGGGGATGGGGGTGTGGTGCAGAGCAACTTGGAGGGGTGGGGGCGCCCGTATGTGGTGGTGGGGGGAGGCGGACCTAAGGTCACTGACGGGGGCGGAGGGAGGGGCGAGCTGAGTTCACCGGCTGTGCTGACCTGGAGACGGCGTCGAGCTGAGGTCGTCGGCGCGGAGCGGTCGGACTGTGGTCGCGCTGCGGGGCGACCTGAGGTCGCCGCCCGCCTGACTGGCCTGTGCTGCTGGAGGAGGCTAGGGGCCACCGGTGAGGGCGGCCGGCCCGGCGGCGGCAGTTCTCGGGGCGGCCGTGTGCGGGACCGGTGGTGGCCGCGGTTTTTATTCTTCGATTGGAGCAGTGGCGGCGGGTGCTCTTGTTTGGGGTTTGGGGGAAAGGGACCGTGGAGTTCTTGGGGTGAGCGCCAGGGGAGACGGAAATGGGCTGATGTGGTGTTGCGCTTTGGCGGGCTGGAATGGCAGGCTCCAATTTTTTTTTCGACAGGTGTGTCCACGTTAAAAAGTTAGGCGGGATCTACGGCCACGAGCGGTGGGTCGTTAAAAGTATGATATAACGACCGACCGTTCAACGTCAAGTGAAATAGAATTAACGACCGACAGTCTGTAGCCAAAACAAGATATAGCGTCTGACCGTAAGCCACTAAGTTATACCGTCCGACCGTCCAACGGCATTTCGACATTTTTACCGACCCTTGGTTGGACGCTAGTATGGGCTGTGGTATAGTGACCCTAGCAGGGATTTTTCAAAATTAATGTGGATGGTGCATACAAATGTAAAACAGGTGGAGGCAGGTGGGGTTTCATTATCCGCAATGATGAGGGAATGACGGTGAAGGCTGGAGCGGGTGATGAAAATTTCCTTAAGAGCGCCTTTCATGCGGAACTGCTAGGGTTATTCTAGAGACAGTGCTTCGCTCATCGAGACGGCCTTGGAGGGCGACGAGTTTCGGCTTTCAGCCATGGGTAGGGTCATTACGGAGATTCGGCTTTTATTGATGTCGGAGTTTGTTTCTTATAGTGTAAATGTGTGTCCTAGATTTTGTAATAAGGTTGTCGACACTCTTGCGGCTAATGGGCATAGAGTTTCTAGTGGTACCCAATCACTTGGGATGATGTACCTCAATTTGTTGAGGATTTGATGACCAACGATCTCGCTGAGTCTGATGAGTAATGAAGTTTGCTCTTAAAAAATAATTCTAGAATTAAAACATACGACTAGGTATACAGAGAAAGAGAGACATAAAAAATCGGAGTTTTGTGGCATGAATGTCACAATAAACGATTATGCAAAATAAACGACTATGTGAAAAAGCCTGTACGTGGGAGTGAATTCAGGCTGTGGGAGCAAAATAAACGACTATGTGAAAAGGCAGGATCAAGAGTTTTCTCGGCATGCAAAACTGAGGCCTTCTACCTTAATATCAAAACCATATACCTCGGGCGGAAACGATTATATGCGGATAATGTCATTTGCAGTAACTGTTCTTTTCTGTTCTTTGTTTGTCAGAGAACTCTCTTTGTCATTGGTCAGTAGGTCAGTCCATCAGTCCTTGGCCCACATGCCCACACAAAGTTTGAATCATTCAAACTTCATTTTAGACCGTAAAAATTCTTCATTGTTGCACAGTCGTAGAAAAAACTACAAGACAGAAAATGGGGAAATATTGTACACCGAAACAAAAACAAAAAAAATCAACGAATCAGGTTACTTACAAGGCTAGAATGTCATACATTTGTAGACATTTTCTACCCTATATTTTCTACATTTGTAGACATTTTCTGTAACCAAATTAAGTTTCTGGAAAGAACAAAAGAATTTGAGATCGACCACAGCCTACTGTTGCTTCACTCGGCGTCTTCCTGAATGATGCTCAGCGCCCGCTTGAGCCTTGACGTTGCCGTGGCGGCTGCAAGCTTCTTGTCCTTCTTCGCTGGGCTCAGCAACATCCCGAACTCCCCCAGCGTCTGTTGGTTTAGCTTCTCGTTGAAGAAGACGTCGACCTCGCTGCCGTCCTTCATTTCCTCGCGCACGGGCATGACGCGAACCGCCTTCTTCTTGCCGCCACCGCGGGCACAGCGCCGCCCGTGTCGCCTCGGTTTGCTGCTGGAAGCGAGCGCCATGGTCGCCCGCACGGCCAGCTCGGCCATGTCGCCGGTCGACAGCGGCCTCTCGAGCATGGCCGCCGGGAGCACGAAGTATATCTGCCCCGGCCGGAGCACCTCGCCGGGTGCCAGCGCCGGTGGGCGCTCGTTGAAGTAGAGTGCGTCGGAGTTGCACACGAAGAACGATGACGACACCGCGTCCCTGCTCCGGCCGAGAACGTCCGCGACGCTAGAGGCAGAGAAGGCCGGGAGCGCCTTCAGCGATCCGTCTGCGGCGATGACCCTGGCCGGCGCTGGCGAGGCCGGCAGGTGTGCCTGCCGCGACAGGCTGCCGTGGTGGATGCAAGAAAGCTTCAATCCCATGGAGTCTAAGAAGTCAGACAAATTTTGTTACTACACTCTTTGGGAATTTGGATGTGGAACTTACACGGGATGTGTGGCGCATATATAGAGAGAGCTAAATGGAGAGGTGGGGAAAGTGCGAGATAAGCCTTTTCATTTGAACCCTTTCCTTCTTGTTCAATTGCGCAGATGCATGTGCTCTGTTTGGTGAATAATCAAGATTTCTCGTTCCGTAGAACTAGCGTCCGGACGTCCAGACCGCCCGCGCCCGTGTTGCGTGCCCCACCTGCATAGATTTGCACGCTCTGTTTCCCACATGCACGCAGAGACCGCCCGCGCCGCTTGGACCGCTCACCCCGCCCGCCCACACACGGCGACCACTCGTGGCCCTCCGTTTCGCACGCGCACGCAGGAATCCATGCCATCAGAGAGTATACACTTGACATATGAAACTCTTGCAACATGAAACATTTGATGCAACATGCCTCTGAAACGGTTTAAATATTTGGAACATACACTTATAACATATATGTGAAACATATTTAACATTTAGATAAAACACTTGCAACATATGTCTAAAAACATATAAAACATTTCGAACATATGTGTCGGTGTTTCGTACAAGCACCGGCAAGTAAATTTATAGTAATACGCGTTAGGCTCGGATGGTGCGCTAAAGGACACAAGATTTATACTGGTTCGGGCCGAAAGTCCCTACGCCCCGCTTTGTTCTTTGCTCGTGTTATTAGCACCGTGAACGGTTTGTAGTAAAGGGTACAAACGATCGAGAGAGAGGACTGGTCCCAAGTCTCGATAGAAGGGTTGAAGGGATGTCAAGAGGTTGACACAACTTGGTGTGTGTATCTGAGAGTCGTCTCGTTCGATCTTTTTCTCCCTCCTTTTATGGAGGAAGCGCATCCCCTTTTATAGATGAAGGGCTGGCTTTACAAGGGTGAGGGCTTTAGGATGCGTACTCTACTTAGTCTTGTGGCTCACGTCTACCCGCCTGGTTCTTCATTACGATGAGTGCGAAGGAAGATAAGCGCCTACAATCTTGTCGATGTCTCTGTAGAATGTCGGGTTGGTTCTGAATGCTACCCCGCTTGCAGGTATGGGCCGCATGATGCTGATGGTTTTGACTTTTGAGCCTCCCCAGCCTTGCTCCGCACGCCTTCCGGGTTCCTATGAGTCTTCGTCGGAGGGACGCGGGGTCGGGTGCGAGAGTAGCGCCGTGGCCAAGGTCTTCTGTCTTGGTAGACCTGAGGGGTCGGGAAGCGGGCGCCGCTCCCTTGGGTCCATAGCGTGGTGACGGAATATCCGTCGTTCGTGGAGATAGCAAATCCTTTTCTGGAGCGTAGCGGTTGTCGTATATCTTCGTCGGGTTTCGTGTCCCAGAGCTGAAGGCGGCGCCTACAACTCTACAGGGTGGAGAGCTCGCACCTGTAACACCTTTCGGGCTCTGCGGCACCTGGAAGGGCCTAAAGCGCCCGTCCCGTCATCCCTTGGCAGTACTTTTCCTGCCAGGGTGCAGGGTATGGTTCGTGGAGCCACGGTTGACCTGAACGTCTTGTCTTACCCTGTCTCTATCATCTTGAGGGAACAGGGAGAAGTGGTCAGGTAAGATGAATCCAATCTTTAGATATGGAGCAGAGTGAGGCTTGTTCCTTGCCGTCGGGCGAAGCGGAGACCAATCCCTATCTCCTGGGTGAGACCGACCCTGCTCCTTCGGGGTCGGGCGAGGCGGAGTCTATCCCTCAGCCCTCGGGCGAGACCGAGCCCGCCCTAAAGGCGTCGGGCGAGACGGAGACTAGCCCTGTGCCCTCGGGCGAGGTAGAGCCACATCAAAGGCGTCAGGCGAGTCGGGGTTTATCCCTCGGCCTTCGGACGAGATCGAGTCCGTCCAAAAGGCGTCGGGCGAGACGAAGACTAATCCTTGGCCCTCGGGCGAGACCGAGCCCACCCCAAAGGCGTCGGGCGAGGTGGAACCAAGCTCTGTCATTCCGTGAGGGGTGAAGCAACGCTCTTATGCGCCCGAAGTTTTTAACGTTCGGTGGTTATTGGTTCCACCTTCGGGGGTACCCGGTATTAGGTCCCGCAGACAGTAGCCCCGAGCCTCTATGTGTGATTCGAGTAGAACCACTGGAGGGTGTTTTTGATTTCGTCGAGGTTACTTTTGTCGAGAGGGTGCGCGAAGCGCATCCCGGCGGGTGTAGCCTTGAGCCCCGGGTGATTTGAGTAGAGTCGCCCGGGGTTATATCGATCCTTCGTGGGTAAGGGTGAAGGACTTAATTTTTTGTCAATCGGACATTTTTCCGAGTGGGTCGTGGCATCCCGCTTGTTGGGAACCGATTCGGGCTGACCTAACTGGTGCTTCTACGCCTTGATTTTAGATCGTCGCGGATCCTTTCTTAGTTGGGCCGCCAGGTGAGCTTCGGGGCCTAGGTGGGCCAAAGAAAAAGAACAGCCTCTGTGGCTTGCGTTTCCTGTGTGGGTAGAGAGTCCGGATTCGCTTCGGGAAGGCGATCCATCCGCCGAGATTTTTAGGGTGAGAGGATAGGGCTGCGGGCGCGTGTCCCATGACGTGACGTGGTGGGCGCGTGGCGAGCCTAGAGATCGAGGCGGACGGTTGCCCTTCTCGCGTCCGTCGCCCCTCTATAAAACCATGGGGTTCGCCCCAAGGTTCCAGATTTCGCTCCCCGCCTTTGCGTTCGAAACATCCGCCGCTAATCGTCCCAGCCTCTCACGCCCAGCGCCGCCACCGCCGACCGGCTGCGTTCGTGTTCCGGCCGGCCGTCAAGCTCACACGCTGCCGCCCCCCTCTCTGCTTTAATGGAGTTGTGGGGCAAATCAACATCACCTCCCGGCGTCTGGAGGGCCTCGTCCGCCGTGGCCTTCTCCCGCCCACCGCCCACCGCCCAGAGTGGTTGCTACTTGGCGACGAGGGTGAGCCGGTCTTTGCTGAAGGGTATGTCGTCTCTTTGCCATCTTCCATGAGCGGGGATTCGGGGTACCCGCGCATAGATTCATTCGGGGGCTGTTGGATTACTATGAGGTAGAGCTGCAGCATCTAACTCCCAATGGGATTCAGCACATGGCAGCGTTTGTTGCCCTGTGTGAGGGTTTCCTGGGGATCGATCCCCATTTTGATCTGTGGCGGTATTTCTTTAACATTAGTCTGTCAAAGAGGAAGATTGGGGGGAAAGACGTGAACGCGCTGATGGGGTGTGCCAGCATTCATCTGCGCCATACCTGATCGAAGGGTTACCCGTACATGTGTCTGGCGACATCCAACAAGGGATGGCACTCGCAGTGGTTTTATGTTAGGGATGATGCGAGTGCCACCCTACCGAAGTATACTGGACGTCTTATTGTGGACGTTCCGGAGTCGTGGGGCTGGGGCGTCCAGTCCAAAGACAAGAAACACATCTCCGACCTTCTTTCCGCCCTCCAAGCCCTGAAGGGTCGTGGTGTAAAGGGGACACAGATTATTGGTGCCTACCACGCTAGGAGGGTGGCGCCTCTGATGGCGCGTGTGCTTCCCCTGCATCGGATGATGCCCGGGATATCGCTCGAGGGGACGGTGCTTGTTGACGAGGCGCTCCCTTACTCGGAAGTGGCGCAGCGCATCAAGGAGGCGATGGAGCCGACGAAGGATTCTACAGGCAGGGTCCTCGACATTGTGTATCCGGTGCCCGGACACCCCCCAATGCGGCCGGAGCCTGGATTCTTTGAATTCGTAAGCTCTCCTCTCCCGTGCTCTTTTCTTTTTTCCTGGATCTCCATTTTTTAACACTTGCTTTATGACGTTGGGACCAGCCGAGGGTGCTGGTCTTTAAGGACAGCCCAGTTCCACTGCCGAAGGACAAGGTCGTGGCGGCGGCGAATCGACTCGCGGCCGAGCGGGACAAGAAAGCAAGGGAAGAGATGAAGAAGGTGAAACGACTGAAGCAGGAGGCACGGGATCGGGGAGAGGACGTGAGCAGTGAGGACGACGACGATGACGATGATGATGATGATGACGACGAGGTAGCCGTCGGCGTGGATTGGGGCGTCCTGGAGGACGAGGACACGCTGACGAGTGGCCACCCATCCATGCAGGGGCCCTTCCCTTTCCACGCGGAGGGAAGTAGATCGATGAGGTCAGTGGAGGCCGGCGAGTCCGCCGCTTCGCACGGCGTGCCGGCCGAGAACCGGTGGATGGGGGAGGGCGGACCTGCCGCCGCTATTCCCGAGGCGACGATGGAGGGAGCAGCTCCGGTGCTGCACCCCATGAGACGATGGAGGGGAGCGACTCCGGTGCTGCGCCCGACGAGATGAACCCCCCTACCCAGGAGCAGGGGGCAGGTATGAAACGGTCCCGCCCAGATGAGTCAGGGTAGGGATCTGGGGATCCATCCCCAAAATGGTTCCGCCGGTCGAGGACGTCAACGTAAGCTGTTGATTCCTCTGTTTTCATCCTTTTTCCATTTTAATTTTGACTTAATGGTTATTACCTTTGTGCAGGTTCTTGCGGACGGGTCACCCCCTAGGGCTGGTGCCCAAGAAGAGTCTCGCCCTTCAAGCGGGACAGACGGCGTTGCCTGGAGTCACCCCCATCTCGGGCAGGAGTGGTGCCGACGTCGGGGCCGCGTTGGCCGACCCGACGGCGCCCATGGTGGCTCCCGTGCCCGCGGAGGTTACTGAGCGAGCGGCCTCCTCCGCGGCGGACGTGGAACAGCCGGCCGAGGGCCGCATACCGCTGGTGGAGGTGGTCGTGACCGCGCCAAGCCAGGATCAACCGGGCGCGGTCGTGGTGGCGCTCGAGGGCGTAGTGCAATCCGCGCCACCAGGGGCCCAGGTGGATCCACCCGAGGCACTCGAAGCGGCCCAGACGGGGGAGGGTCCAGCCGGAGGGTCCTCGAGTGCGGAGGTGGTGCCGCACAGGGTCAGGAGGGAGCCGCCACCGGCCCCTTTGTCGGGAGGAAGCCGCTCCCCTGCACGGGGGGAGCTGCCGCTCTAGTGGATGGCCGCTCAGGACCCGA